TACGGCCATTTCTCAGTTAAATTAAGCAATATCAAGCATGACCAATACCCCGTGTCACTTTCCAATCTCTATACAGTCCAACCCCTTTCTCACAGAAGAAACGTCGGGTGACCTTTTTGGAATACCAGATTCTGTAAGCTTGGGTGTGCTGCTGGTCTAATAGATAACGTCTCGATTTCCAATGCCAGTCGGGGTCTTTATATTAATCTATGCTCAAACAACATTTGGAAAGGCATCAACCCACCTCTCCCTGTGAGTTAAATAGGAGGACTTATATCAGTAAATTATTATTATCTTCAAAATATTTCTCAAAATTCAAAAATGTTTCCAAGATTTAAATAACTTAAATAATTTAAATAACTTAAGAAAGGCTGAAAAGCCTTAAAAAGCAAATCAATCATTCTGTAGCGCCAATCTATAAGATCTGATCAATAATCTTTAAATATGCGTTCGCTTCAAGCAATTTTAAAGTCTTCTTCATCCTTATAACTCCCATTAACCCTTTGCGTCTTAGGGGCATTATCGCCATCTTCTGTCTTCCTAAAACCTGTTCTTTTATTGTTTTTTCTCCCCACTAAAGTCTTCGCATTCTCTTTCATTCCCAGTAACACCTTGCGTCTTAGGGGCATTATCACCATCTTCTGTCTTCCTGGAACCTGTTCTTTTATTGTCCTTTCTCCTCATTAAAATCTTCTCATTCTTTTTCACTCACAGTAACCCCTTGCGTCTTAGTAGCATTATCGTCATCTTCTGTCTTCTTGAAACCTGTTCTTTCATTGTCCTTTCTCTTCACTAAAGTCTTCTCATTCTCATTCACTCCCAGTAATCCCTTGCGTCTTAGTGGCATTATCGCCATCTTCTGTCTTCCTGAAACCTGTTCTTTTATTGTCCTTTCTCCTCATTAAAATCTTCTCATTCTCTTTCACTCCCAGTAAACCCTTGCGTCTTAGTAGCATTATCGCCATCTTCTGTCTTCCTGAAACCTGTTCTTTTATTGTCCGTTCTCCTCATTAAATTCTCTTTCACTCCCAGTAACCCCTTGCGTCTTAGTGGCATTATCGCCATCTTCTGTCTTCCCGGAACTTGTTCTTTCATTGTCCTTTCTCTTCACTAAAGTCTTCTCATTCTCACTTGCGTCTCAGTGGCATTATCACCATCTTCTGTCTTCCTGAAACCTGTTCTTTTATTGTCCTTTGTCCTCACTAAAGTCTTCTCATTCTCATTCACTGCCAGTAATCCCTTGCGTCTTAGTGGCATTATCGCCATCTTCTGTCTTCCTGGAACCTGTTCTTTTATTGTCCGTTCTCCTCATTAAAATCTTCTCATTCTCTTTCACTCTCAGTAACCCCTTCCGTCTTAGTGGCATTATCGCCATCTTCTGTCTTCCTGAAACTTTTATTGTCATTTCTCTTGAGTAAATCTTCCCATTCTCTTTCATTTTCAGTAACCTTTTGCGTCTTAGTGGCCTTATCTCCTTTTTTGGAGTAAATTGATTAAAAAAAAACTGAAATTAAATATTTCTTGAAACTCATATATCGATGTCATGTCATTTCTCATATGAAAATGGTTTTGAGAGAATGAAGCCAGTAGGTCTTAGCGAGGACTTTTTTATTCGAACTTTGTGAACTTGGGCCACAGAATGACAAAGAACTGGAGAAAATATCAGAAATATCAGTAGAAAACTTTCAATAGCAGCAAAAACCATTTAATTTGATGAGAAAAAAACATTAATTCATCACATTCAAAATGCCGAGGGCCGGAATTGGAAAGAGATTTTGTAAGGGGTAAGACCTATATCAAGTGATTGCGCGCGTAGTGCTCTCCTAGATCAAGAATGTGAATCTGGCAACAGGACTCTGCACCATGCCACACAAACAGGAGAACACAGTCATCAATTTCTGCGACCGCATCACCCCTTACATTTGGCCACCTGATTCCCCAGACTGCAAACCTCTTGATTATTATATGTTGGGCGCAGTTGATCGGGAGACCAACAAAAATCCTTGAAACCCAAAGGATGAACTGAAGCCATGCATTATGGTAGCATTCCACAGTTTAAACAAAGAGACCCTTCCAGAAGAGTTGCAGGAGATTCCGAATTCGTTTGGAGGCCATGGTTGAAGCCAATGGCGTTTGTAGTGAATACATTTTCTCTTTAGTACATCAAGATATCCTAGTGTACTGTATATACACGTGTATCATGCGATTTTTGAAGACCTAAGGAAAGGGGTTCGCATCATACACGATATTAAAAATTAGCGTATGTACTGCTGGCCCTGGTTAGGCTGTTGACCAAACTATATATCCATTTAGATAAAACTGTCAAAATTAGGTCTTCAAAGTTCGCATGATACGCCAGTATATACGGTAACTCAAAGTAATCCTTACAGATAATCAAAGGAAGGAATGGTAAAAAATGGGGGATCAGTTTTTTATTGTTCTTTAGTACTGAACGCATCCCCCATTTCTTGGCTATAATAGATTCATAGATGAAATTCCAAAATACATTTAGTGGTAATCAAATGAAAGAATGATAAAAAATGGGGGATCAGTTTTGTATAGTTCTGTAGTATTAAACTCATTTCCCATTTCTTGAACACTATATGGTATCCATTTCAATAATCTAGGCAGGATTAAATAACTTCCAAAAATATTCTTATGGTTTGTTATATTCACCGTAGATACTCGCGTATCATCCGACTTTTGAAGGGCTCATTTTGAAGCTAATTTTAAGAGGGTCGCGTCATACACGAGATTTAGTTAGCGTATTGGCTACTCCGTTGATCAAACTATGTATCGATTTACTGTAGACAAATTTGCTTAAAAAGCCGCAAGATACTAAAAAAAAATCCAAAAGGATACTCAAAGTAAGGTGTGGTAAAATTTGGGGATCAGTTTTGTATTGTTATTTAGTATTAGACTCATCCCCCATTTCTTGGCCATAGTAGATTCATGCATGAAATTTCAGAACATCCCAATAAGTAATCAAATGAAAGGATGATAAAGAGTGTGGGATTGGTTTTGTATTGTTCTTTAGTATTAAACTAATCCCTCATTTCTTGGCCATCGTATTTACTCTCCATTTCTATAATCTAGACAGGATTTAATTAACTTCCAAAAAATGTTCTTATAGGTTGGTTTGTTATATATACCGTATATACTCGCGTATCATGCGACTTCTGAAGACGTTATTTTGAAGCTAATTTTAAGAGGGTCGCATCATACATGCGATATAAAATTAGTGTAGACAAAACTGTATATCCATTTGCTGTAGTTAAAAGTACAGTTGTATTTAAAATAACCATGATTTTGATAATACTGTTATTTTACTTAACTAAAAGAAATCCTTATCGATAATCAAAGGAAAGGATGGATGGTAAAAGGTCCCCATTTCAGTTTTTGTATGATTCCAAAACATTATTATAGGTAATCAAACAGGATCCAGTTTCCAATTGGTCTTCATTAATAAACTTAAATTGATCTATGTAATTCCAAAACATTATTATAGGTAATCAAAACATCCAGAATAACATTCTTTTGGGGTTTTTTGTTATATATACCGTTTCCAATTGGTCTTTTGAAATAAAAAGATAAAAATTATCCCAAATTACTTGGCCATTCTAAAAAATATCCATTTATCTGTAGTCAAATAACTAAATAATCAAAGGTCGCAATACGGATATATAAAGATTATAAAGAAATCAAAGGGGATTATAAAGAAATTTTTTTTATTGTTCTTTAATATTAATCAAATCCCCCATTTCTTGGCCATAGTAGATTCATCGATGAAATGCCAAAACATTCTTATAGGTAACCAAATCAAAAGATGATAGAAAATGAGGGATCAATTTTGTATTGTTCTTTAGTATTAAACACATCCCCCATTTCTTGGCCATTGTATATGCTGTCCATTTCTATAATCTAGACAGTATTTAAGTAACTTCCAAAAACTATTCTTATAGGTTGGTTTGTTATATATACCGTCTATACTCGTATATAAGGCGAATTTTGAAGACCTAATTTTTAGGGGGTCGCATGATACTCGAGATATAAAATAAGCGTATGTACTGCTGACTATGGCTACGCCGTTAAGCAAAGTGTATATGCATTTACTGTAGTCAAAGTTACAGCTGCATTTAAGATAAACATTATTTGATAAAACTGATATTTTACTTAACTTTATCCAATAATAATGCATGTAATATTCACATATTAGTAACGTATTATAAAATACAAACATAGCGAAAATGCATCCTTGTTTACATTTATATGATGTTTAGCTGTTTCTCATTCGGTTGTTTACGCAACGAATATAGCGTTACTAACGATACTGTCATCATTTATTTTTACTTATTTAACGAGAATATAGGATAAAGAGATTGAGGAAAAGAGATTAGTGTATTGTAATTGGGTCTCTCTCTCTCAAAAAAAAAAGAACTCGCATGATACACGAGTTATAAAATAAAATCATTTTTTAGAAGTGAAAATTTTGGGGTCGACCGATACACGAGATCACGCGTTACACAATATATCTGACATTTTCGCTTTGAGAATCTATGATAAATATTTCATAAACGATATAAACATAAAAAATCATAACATTCCTTTATTTATCCCATTCGTTGAATTCGAACCTCTTGTCGGTGTATGGGATAAACGTTAGACCATCCAACGTCCGGTTCCCTATTCTCCCCAGTCTTTTGAACAGGAGTAGATATTTATCCCTTGTTTCCTGTTTATGAGTAGGTTTCCGGTTCCTTCTAAATTCTATTTCCACACTATTACTCCTAACATCGATTGAACTCTAAAGTCTTATGCATGAATTAAATCTCGTCTACATCAAGTGAAGTTTGTCACAATTTCCGTTTTAATAACCCAATCAATTGGTTTTATTAGGCATCCTAAACTGAACCCGGAATTTTGCAATCTTAAATAGCTATTTGTCTTTTAAACAAATTTTGCAAACAATGTATTAAACAAAAAGTAAAGAAATATCTTACCATTCCTGTATTTGTCCCATTCGTTGAATTCGAACCTCTTGTCGGTGTATGGGACGCCGGCAGCGGCCATCAACATACGACAGATCTCGGCACGTCCGCGGCCATTGAAGTAGTACAGAGTGTAGTTAGGCATAGCGAATTCAGAGATGTAAAATGCTGAAGTTCTCTTGCAGTGTACCGTTTGCTTTCTGTACTGAGCCGATATTTGAATTCATTTATATACCAATAGCTGAGTCATGTTCCACAATCTGTTTGCAGTAATAGTTAGGATTTTGTCCAAGGATTTGCTCATCAATTTACGAAAGCACTGACAAATTGTGCTTGCTTCAACGAAGTAATTTACGCTTGTCTTTTGTTAAATTGCACGTCTTCGCAGCACGGGGCAGTTAGAAAAGTCTAAGGGTAATTAAGTAAATTAGTGTTGTATTTTCTTTGGCAAGCGACGTGTGTCGTGCACAGAATAGATGTTTTGCTAATTGTTGAAGGCACATTAGGTGTGCACTGACACACGAAAATCGGAAAAATGTCCCGAGAACACCACTGACTAAATTGACTTGGAAGTAAGTTTAGACACCTTGCAAATATTTCTTGAAACAGACGCATCTAAGATATATATATATATATATATATATATATATATATATATATATATATATATATATATATATATATATATATACACAGTTAACACTGAAATACTTGCTTGAATAGCAGAGAATTAAATTTAGAAGCTGAACAGGTGTCTTGAAAAACTGCAACAAAATGGTATTTACTAAATTTAGCTTGACATAAAGTAGGAAAATTTTGTTTGGCCAGACGAGAAGCAAATTATTATCTTTTTAATTCATAATTCTTTTGATAATTATTTTAGCAAATATGTAAAAAGATCAAGGATCAAAGTCAATAAATGTACACAGGAATATTGTGTTGCTCCAGATTTACCATTTAGGGAATGTTCTCAAGCTTTGAAAATCAGCATTCGCTCCATAGACTCGTAACGTAATCTTTACTCTCGCTACCCTTCCAATTTATGCATCATTTTATTCCTCGAAATTTAAAAACCATTTATTTTTGCATTTTTATTATTACTACCATTATTATTATTATTATAGTTTTATTTCCTTTCATTTCCGTTATATTAAAAATTCATCCCGGGTCCCAATCAGAGACCTAAGTCCCGGAATGGTATTATGATATTTCCTACTGTTTATTATATTAAAAACAAACAAACAAACAAACCACAAGATCACATATTTTACACAGATAATGCTCTCAATAATATATGAGCTGTACTTGTGAGTAGAATTTTTTTATATTTCTTTAAGTTATAGGCTACCTATCAGGAAACTCTTCGACAATTTAACTAATACAGAAGAGATTACACCTCGGATATGCACTGAGGTCGCTTTTCTTATCTGGAGACATTTCTTATTTTCGCTGTTTCTGTCGTAGAATCATTTTTCCTATCAAATAATCAGTATAATTTTGTTGTTGTTCTTTGTTTGCCATTCACTTTTTATAGAAACCTTCAGTCGAGTTAAACCCGCTATCTTTCCAGCTTTTCTTCAAGCGCCTATTTATTCACGTTATTCTCAAATTCTATTCTTCTTCATCCATTGTATCCCAAAATAAATGACGTCATTATATGTACGTTCCTCATACGAGATAAAGCATTATTATTATTATTATTATTTGTGTATGTTATGTTTCCTGTTTTGTATCCTGTAGAGCCGGGTCCAAACTATGGTCCTTAGGCTTTATAGAAGAATCGTTATTTAATTGATAGCACTTTTCTTAGTATATATGATGTTCCTAGTAGGGCGAACTTCTGGGCAACTTGAATGATGATGTTACCTGGAGCACTGTTAGTAAAATTGCCAATTCATTTTCTCACGAGGCCCAGTGCTCCGATTACTATTGGAACCGTCTCAGTCTTCATTCCCCACATCCTGTTAATCTCGATCTCCAGGTCCTTGTATTCATTTTTTGTTACTTCCTGATACCCTGAAATAATATGGTTGTCATATTATTATTATTATTATTATTTGTGTATGTTATGTTTCCTGTCTTGTATCCTGTAGAGCCGGGTTCAAACTATGGTCCTTAGTCCCTATCAGAGAATTGCCACTTAATTGATAGCACTTTTCTTAATAGATGGGATGTTCCTAGTAGGGCGATCTTCTGGGCAACTTGTATGTTGATGTTACCTGGGACACTGTTAATAAAATTGTCCATTCCTTTTCTCACGAGGCCCAGAGCTCCGATGGCTATTGGTAGAGTCTCAGTCTTTATTACCCATATCCTGTTAATCTCGATCTCCAGGTCCTTGTATTTGGACAATTTCTCAATAATTTTCATGGAGGTGTTTCTATCAGATGGTACTGCAACGTCAATCATCACTTTCTGAATTTATTGTCTTTTATGATAATATCAGTTCTGTTTTGTTTTTTTGTTTTTATTTTCCTCTCATTTTGAATTGACATGTCCCAGAGGATAGTTACATCTTTATTATGGGTAACTGTATCTGCTCAGTGCTCATACCGTCTTTCAGTGGTTTCACTTTTTTAGTCGTTTATCATTATTATTATTATTAGTAGTAGTAGTAGTTGTGTATGTTATGTTTCCTGCTTTGTATCCAAACTATGGCCCTTAGGCCCTATACGAGAATTGTCATTTAATGGATAGCACTTTTGTTAATATATGGGATGTTCCTAGTAGGGCAATCTTCTGGGCAACCTTTATGTTGATGTTACCCGGGACACTGTTCGTAAACTTGTCTATTCCTTTTCTCACGAAGCCCAGTGCCCCGATTACTATTGGTACGACAGTCTCAGGCTTAAATCACCACATCCCGTTAAACCCCTATCTCCAGGTACTTGTATTTAGACAAATTCTCGATAATTTTTACGGGGCTATTTCTCATATGGTACTGCTATGTCAATAAGCATACACTTCCTGAATTTCTTTTATGATAATATCAGGTCTGTTCGATTTCATTCCCCTGTCAGTTGGAATTGGCATATCATTATTTTATTATTATTAATGTTGTTGCTCATGATTCTGTTTTTTTTTTTTTTTGTTGTCTGTGTCCAAAAAAGGCTTTTCTCCATATTTATTGGCTTTTATCATATACTACCGATATTGAGGCGCTTTTATTTACTAACACTACCTCAGTATAAGACAAGGTTGAAAGAATAGTACACCTTTTGTGGATCAAAAACTCCAGTCAATAGTAAACCACACTAGCTCGTTAACCATTACACGTGCCGAAGCGCTTTTATTTACTAAGCTTAGTTCACAGAGCTCCGAATACTATTGGTACAGTCAGTTTTCATTCTCCACATTCTGTTAATCTCGATCTTCAGATCCTTGTATTTGGACAATTCCTCGATAATTTTCACTGCTTGAATTTCTTGCATTTAATGATTATATAAAGTCTTCTGGCTTTTATTTCCCTGACAGTCCCAGAGGATAGTTACATCATTATTTTGGATAACTGTGTCTAGTTGGTGCACATACTCAGTGGTTTTGATTTTGTGCTTCTTGCATATTTTCCGGTGCACATATGTCCCTACCTTGTTATGTCTGTGGGTATATTTATTTTTGCTACTTTCTGTCTGAATTTTTAGTGCACATATGTTGCCACAGATAATTTTTGTAAAAAAGTCAGACATTTTACATCGATTAATTTCTTCATAATATGTGATATGTACTTGTGAGTACAATGTTTTGTATTTCTTTAAGTCATAGGCTACCAGGAATACCTCTAATGAGTCTATCGGAACCTTTTAAACTGAAACCAAGGATTTTAACAAAGACTGGGATTACTGATGTCTTCATGAGCCAAAGTTTTTGTGATTTCTACTTCAAGATCCTTGTATTTTTTTAGGAAGTCTTATATAAAAACGAAAGTACATTCTGTTTTTTTCTCTGATCAAAATGTCTGGACATTTAGCTTTGCTTGTTCTGACTGTGAATATTGTAAAGTTCCATGCGGTCTTATTTTGAGATTTCTAATTTAAAACCTTTTTTATTTTGACAGTTTTTTTTAAAGATATTTAAAGATACATTTAACGTCTGCAGGAACTGCGAATCACATTCTATTTTAGTGATGGTTGATCAGTATACATAAGCGATTAATGATTGGTCAATATACATTGGCTAAAGGAACCTTTTCCAACTACAACTGCAATTTTTGATGTCCCCATGTCCACATTCTTGAGATTTAAACTTCAAGATTCTTGTATTTTTGAAGATCTCCAAAGACTGCCATAACAATAAAAGAAGCACATCCTCTTTTTTGATGTCTGGGCGATTAGCTTTGATTTGTGTGTTTGTATTGTCCTGTCTCGTCAATCGAGTCTGGGTGATGTTCATACCTGTTTCTTGCAGTTTCCTTCATGCAAAAGTTGCATATTTTCCAGTGCAATTGTTACTGGAAATAAAATTTGATCAGATTAACGTGTCGCGTGACCCATCAGGTACTAAGGGGCACGACATGTACTGCAGTGATCTGTTTTAGCCTAGAATTTGCATTTGCAGTCAACAAAATTTTTCAGTACGTGTGCTTGGGAATTTTTAGTTACCAATCATTGGTCTTCTGCAGCAAGAATAAAACCTTCGTTTTAAGCTTTTATCTCTACACTACGTAGCCATTATGTCAGCGAATGTCAGAAATGGTTTCATGACATTTTCCAGATCATTTAAAAAATAAAAAAAATAAACGTAAGATCACACATATTTCACATAGGTAATGCTTTTCGTGATGTGTGTGTTGTACTTGAGTACGATGTTTTGTATTTCTTTAAGGTATGGGCTGCCAGGAATCCCTTCAATAAGTCTATCGGAATCTTTTGCAATCAACCCAAGGACCTCAACTGCAACAATTATAGATGTCCTCATATCCACATTCTCGAGATTTCCACTTCAAGATACTTGTATTTTTCTTCAAATTATATTACAGTCTTCAGGGACTGCTATATCAATATAAAAATCACATTCTCTTTTTTTGGTTTTTGATCTCGATGTCTGGACGATTAGCTTTGTTTCTATCTGTTGCGGAGTATTTTCACAGTGGAGGCTTGTATTTCTAATAAGTCGTCCTAAATTAGGTCCGACGTACAAAACGTTAGG